ATTCAGCTACTTTTTCCTTCAGGGAAAAAAAAGAACCATAGCAAGAAATGCTTTGATAACATTTTTTCCATAACTCCTAATTTCAATATGAAATAAAAGTGAACAGCCAAGATGCCTAAAAGGAGAGTTTAATTAAAACTTCCTTGGCTCATCATCCTGGAATGCAAAGTTATAAAACTGTAATGATCAAAAGTGGATATTTTGTTTTTCACAATTCCAAAATAAGTAGTTAACACAGGGGTCTCCAACCCCGGTCAGTGGACCAGTACTGGGCCACAGCATGCCAGCAACCGGTCCTCACAAACAAGGAAAGCCCCATCTACAGGATGCAGGCAACACATAAAATCACGGCCCCTCCGGTCCGCGGAAAAAATTGTCTTCACGTAACCAGTCCCTAGTGCCCAAAAGGTTGGGGACCTCTGAGTTAACCTACTGAAATCTACTAGGCCTCTGCTATTAATATTAAGTTTTTCCTTAGTAACCAAAATATTTTTAAAATCTGTAGCCTCCTCTTATCTAAGATGCTTAAGGATTCATTTAAGTAAAGCTGACTTCGATGTCCTCATGCTTTAAAATAATAGAACCAGTAATTTAAAGGCTTCTCTATGAAAATCCTTAATAATTCCAGTCATAAATAGGTCCCATTAATAGTAGTTTGGAAGTACTTCTGTTCAGTTCCTCGCCTTTTCAGCCATTATATTGATTTGGATTTGAGGGAGCTTCAGTGGTGGTGGAATGTTTGGGCACATTTCCTGTAGTGTTAAAATCTTGATTGATTCCTGATATTTTGTTAATATGAACTAAGAAATTATTTATTCAAAAACTGAAATGATTCTGGCCTGTATTCCTTCATCTTCATTCAGTTATTGGGTCTCTTCATTTCTTCTCCAATTACTTTTTCCATTAGTTTGCCAATATTCTGCACCTTTGGGCTAGGTATATGTATTTCTGCAAATATCTCTCTCTCTCTCTCTCTCTCTCTCTCTCTCTCTCTCTCTTTGTTATGGTCTGATACTTTTGGTGATTTTGTGATTTTGTGATTTTGCCCAGTGCCTGTAATTTTGCTCATTGTGTGCAAGTGCTGACAATGATATTTTCCAGCTCGATCAACCTAAGATGATATTAATGAATATTAGAGAAGAATATTACTAGTACAAATTGTAGAATTGCTGTGAAAATATATAAAAACTACCTTAAAAATACAAATAATATTGTGGTAGAACCTGAATTAATCACAGTTATAATTGATGTCTTTTCTTTGGACAATTGGTTTTTCTATGTTATTGCAAATTTCATAATACTCTAATTTTAAAAGTAGTTGAACATATGACTTCCATTTGGGGAAAAATACAATAAATAAAATCTAAAGATTCCTGTAGGTTAGAGATCTTTGTCTGTGGTTCTTGGAATCCTGCCTACATTTCTTGAAATCATTTTATTGCTATAAAACACTTAACTTTTAGCACTGTGCAACTCTACACGCTTCTAAATTTCAATAACTGCTTTAATATCATAATACTTTCCATACTGCCATACTGTAATACATTTAATACTTTAATTCTTTCCACATTCTTTGCTTCGCCCATAGTAGTAAAGTGCATTGGAGTAATATGAGCTGAGAGATAGCTATATGCCTAGCTCTGTTTATATGAAACTTCAGAAAAATAAAATAAAACCCTGGCAAAAAAGCAGAGAAAAAAATGTACAAAAAATAATTTGATATCCAACTCTGATACCCAACTAAAAAGATAGTTGAATTATTTGATGTAGATCTGTTAGTGATTCTGTGTTGAATATATGACAAATAGTAAAAGGAAAAGTTTTCTAGGTGTAAGAATGAACTTAATAGAGTCATGGGGTTGAAAGAGACATTCAATTCAATATACCGCTCAATGTAGGAATCCAAATTCAAGCATTCCCCCAACAAATGATTGTTCGACTTATACCCAAAGACAACCATCACCATTTTATTTAATTAATGCCACTGTCGTATTGTTTTATTTTCAGGAACTGCTTTCTAACATCTACTTGAAATGACATGCTCTAGATCCCTTGCAAGTAATCTTCCTAAATCTCTCTATTTCCCTTTTAAAGCCGAGGGTTACATTTCCTGACTTAAAACAGTTTTCAAGGATTTCTCAAAAGATAATACATAAAGATATAGGCAGTATTTTAGTTCTTAATCAGTTCTCTTAATACTGCTCATCTGGCTTAAGAAATTAAAAATCATTCAGAGTAAATAACTATTCTTTGAATTTATTTCTTTCAATCTCAATCTTCAACCCAGGCCCTTAATTCTGTTTTTTACAGAACACATATAGTGGAACACATACAGTCTTTTCAAACTGCACTAAAACAAGAATTAGGGAGCTGTGTTTTTTCAATGTTTCCTATTAGCATTTTGCTATCTACATTCTTTTTATTTTGAATTGTTTGGGGGAAAAAACCTTAAATGTTGTGAGCATTCTTTGTAATCTCATCTCCTTTTTGACCTTAGTCTTTCTGACATTTCTTCTGTTCTGGGATATCTGTATATATATATTTTATTTATCATCTCTCTTGTTTTCCAAGTCGTTTATACAGCCTTTATTTTATTGTCAGATCTTCACTAAGTTTTTAGTGCAATGACTTTGGATTCTTTTGTCTTTTATTTTTGTCTTCATTGAAATTGCTTGCAATTGTATTTTTTTTAAAGAACTTGTACTCATATTAAATTTCTTTCCTGTTAGTTTTTTTCTTGCCACACAATTCTATCTATTACTGCTCTGACTTTTTTTTAAAATGCAAATTTCCTAATGTCTTTAAACTACATTCAGCATTAAATTTATTAAAATAAAATATTTCAGGACTTTATTGTCACTTTTCCCCAATGTTCTAATTAAATATTTTCCATTGGTTAATATAAAGTCAGAGTTTGCTTAATTTCTTGTGCCTTCGTCCACCTCTAAGAGAGAGTGTTGTCAGCAAGAAGGTTTCTTGCAAATATGAAGGTTTTAGGTCAAGTTAATTATATTTACTGTCATGGCTGTATTTAAGTTCTGTTCTTCATTTTTAGAAAACAGCCCCATATGGTAGAAGAAATAGTAATAAAACCAATAATTACATTGTTTTTATTTTTACCTACTTATTTTAACTGAGATACCACTTAATGCATTGCCAAATTTGTTTAGCTTTGTTATGATTATTTTTAATGTACACTGACATGCTTTCTCTCTTTCTTTTTCTCCTATTTTTAATTTCTGTATCATCCAACCAAATTCCTATTAGATCTAGCAAACATATTTGTCTTTCTATACTAAGAACTGAAGTTTGTCTTTGCTAGCATTAGAGTATAGGTAATGAAGAACATGCAATATTATTTATGGTTTATTGATCAAGTCAAGTTACTTAGATCTAGTTACAGTAATATTCCCACCTTATCCTGTAGTGCCCAAGATTGAATGTAGGTATCTATATAAAATGTTTTTTTGTCATCTTGTGGAATAGAGGAAGCGTGCCTTTTTTGTCATAGCCCCTGTCCTCTGCAGTAGCATCCCTCAGAGATATGGATGATGTCCACTCTCCTGGGATTTCCCAGATAAATAATAACACACACACACACACCAGATTCAGTTTAAAGCTCTTCTGATCAAACTCTCCAGTGAACACAGTTTACCAGTCTTGGGAATTGCAACCTATCTTGTGCCATTTAATGATACATAACTCACTCCAAATCCCAGAAACCCACATCTCACTTGTCTGCACCACTTGCAAGCCAGAATCTTTGTAGTACTTGTCTTTCTCTTCCTATTCTACCATAATAATAGCAATGGATGAAAGTATCATCTGAGACACTAAATTGTGTGGACTAACAAAAAGGGATAATTGTCAGTGGACATGATACGTCTTAGAATTTTTCTTTTCACTTTTATAATCTATATTCCTGACAAACAATACATCTAATGAATCAATCACTTTGAATATCACATCTTTATTTCTGTTCATAATAACGAGTTGACCAGTAACATGATTATTTTATAAGTCCTCTTGCAGGGGCATATCTGCCTCTAGGAAACCACTTTGTGGCTTCTGTTCAGCAGTGCCTCTTTTCTTTCCATGAAGGCTGAAGCTCTTTTTTTTTTTTTTCCTCTGAGGGTTTCAAAGCTATTGCTGAATTCCAGTGGCACAGAATATGATCTCTATGTCTTATTAGTAATTGTTACTCTTATTTGTTGGGCTTGTTTCATTTTAATATTCTTTCTTATGGGAAATAATTTCATTTCTCAGCAATTTTTGCAGCATCCCATTTATTTGATCTAATACATTTTCATCCTCTCTTATGAGATGAAGTGTGGACAGTTGCTGCTCTATTTTTTATTTTTATTTTTTCACAAACACCTCCACAAACTTGCCATTGTTGCAGAAAAATACCAGGTAATTTCAGTTCAGAACACAAATCTTGCAAACTTTGTAGTCCACAATTACTGAGCCATGCATATTTATCTTCATTTCTGTTTCTTAAGCCATCATAAAAAGAGATTTTTATTCTATCCTCAAACTGTTAATTTAGTTGAGTACATAATGTTAACTTTAACAAGTACATTTATTAGGAAGTGCTCCTTAAATTCTGTTACCAAATTGCTAGCTCTCCCTGTTTATTCATTCCTGAAAACTGGCTGTCTTTATTAATTTTAGGGTATCTGTAAAAGTCTCTGCTTACCCAATCACTCTATCACTTAGAATAGACAATCTCCTATCAGTATAGAATGTATTGTCAAGCATATTAATTCTTCCATCTTCTCTTAGTCTAATTGAGAAAGGTGAGCACTAGAATTTCAAGGCTAAGGGTTGTTTAGGACTAATGTAACAGTAATTGGCATATCATTCATTTATTTTCTATATTCCCATATAAAAGGATTGAACAATAAAATTGGTCAACTACAGTGTGAATATAAAGATAATTTAAATGCAGACACAAATCAAATCAAATGTAATAATGTATTTACATTTTTTATTGATAGGACTCGCTGATTCTTGAAAAATCTCAGAATTGGAGCTCCCAGAAAATGGACCATATTATGATTTGTTGTGTTTGCCTTGGAGATAATAGTGAAGATGCTGATGAAATAATTCAGTGTGACAATTGTGGAATAACAGTACATGAAGGTAATTCTATCATGTCTTCAACTTAACTCTGAGTAATGAGGTATTATTATTATTATTTTAATAATATTGAGTGAATTTGTTTATGAGTAGGTTAAATGAATGGGTTTAATAATTGTCTCATAATGTAATAATCAGAACTCATAGATATGTATATCCTGATGAATAGTGTATTATTAAAATATTGCTAAAGGTGTACAATATTACAGGGCTAATAGCTTGAGGTTTGAAAAGAACTGTTTTTTAAAAAAATCCAGATGACAGGTGTTTTTTTGACTTGACTGTTTCCTGCTTCTTCCTGCTTACACACAGAAATGAAGGACTAATCAGAAATTCATGCATTTCCAACTTATTATTTGTCGTATTGATTGGTGTGTAATACAGATATAATATTGGCATAATACAGGCACTTATTTATCAACCATTTGAAGTTGTAATCAGATTGAATAAAATGTTTCATGACTGGTTCTTGTGGTTCACAGTCATATGATTACAATTTTGGTGCTTGGCAACCCGTTCACAATTGTGGTCATGTGATCACCATTTGTAACCTTCAATTCTGCCTTCCAACAAACACAGTCAATGGAAAAGGCACAAATGGTGATCATGAGACGCTGTGCTTAATGACCATGATACTTAACCACAACTGGAACTGCTGCTAATGCCAACGTGCAGTCGTGTAACATTGTATGTTACAACCATGTTGCTTAGTGATAGCATTGCTGTTACTGTTACTAATTACTGTTGTTAAACAAGTATACTTGTATTCTGTATGCTTCTTTCCACCGCAACTTTTTGAGTTTTGAATAGAAATAAAAAAAATGAGTAGGATCCTTTGTTTCAGAAAAACAACCAGTTTTGTTGAGGTTAAATGTTATTAAATATGTATTAAATGTTGGTAGTAGGTAGGCTAGTGTATAATTTTTCAACTGAGGAGCTCTGATTTGCAATTATGTATTCTTACAGAAACTAATGGTAAGATACCATAAAATGCCCTGAAATTCCATCAGAATGATTGGTTGAGAAGAAACATTATATTCCTATTTTATACATATTTAGTTGCACTAAATATAACTGAAATTAAGATTTAACTGTTCAATACAATCTCAATATTATTTTGTCTCAAATCATAAACTATGCTTGAAATATTATTCATTTAAATAGATTAGGATAGATTTCTTTAGGACCAAAAATAGGGATGATAAAGTAGTAACTAAGTTATAGTCTAAGAGTCCTGGTTTCTCCTTTATGTGAAATATAATTAACCCACATTCCATCCTTTCATAGCCCCATCTACATAATAGTTCCTAACTTTGGGGGTTAGCAATAGGCCTGTGGCAATACCTGATAGTACTGATTTCTGATGCTGGTTTATTTTCCAATATACAATTTATGATTGTTGGAATAAATGGTACCTATACATTTATAGGTACCATTTACTCCAACAGTCATAAATTGAATTGTTAATAATAGAAAAATAAGTATGGAAGATGGAAAGCATGCCTTATATTAAAAGCATCTTCATACAATAGACTAGGCATGGTTTCTGCAATATATAGATTCTTGTTTTGCTCATAATAGAACTTTTTTATTATTAGATCTGAATGTGAAAAAAATTGGTTGACTAGCAATTAATTAATAGAAAGTATTATTGCTCATTTCTAGAGAAGAAATATAATCATTTTAAAGTGCTTTTTAAAGTGCTTTTTTATAAATGTTCTTTTGTTAATTTCTATTTTTAAAAGTGAAATTCCAAGTCTATTGTTTTTATGGCTATCTTTAAACAAAAATCCACTAAGCTAAATTATAATATTGGAACAGCATTTCTGCCTGTATCCAATTTCCTTATCACAAAAGGTCTAAAGAAAAATACCTGGTACTTATTACATTTTGACTTAGAGATATAGATGATTCATTTGTCTACAATTGAATAATTACTATGCATTCGTACATACTTCCTTGTTTACTGTAATATTGTTGTTTACATACTGGAAAATATCCTGAATACTAATTTATGTTGCAAGCATTATTCAAAAGTCATCTTCATTCCTATTCTTATAAAACTTTTTTTGCTTTTTCTTCAAGATTCTCTATTCATTGTTACATTGTTATTAGTGGTGCTTAATATGCTATTTAACCATTCTTACAATGGCTTGAAACAGTCCTTGCTTTAAAATACTGTTTATCCTGATTTTTTTTTTCTGTTGATAGATAATTATACAAGTTAAAAAAATTTTTTTTTTACTTTTCTTGGAATCAGCATAATTATAGAAAAAAATAAAAGTGTATAGGGGCTTCTGCAGATATTAAAAAAATATTTATTTATTTTTTTTATTTTTTTATTTATTTATATTTAAATTTATATGCCGCCCTTCTCCCCATGGGACTCAGGGCGGCTCACAGCATATTAAAACATTGTACAAAAAATTTTCCCCTGCTAAAAACCAATTAAAATCCAAATATTGGTTGCTGTGGCTCTTTAAAATTATTTAAAAATTGTCCCTATTTAAAACTCACCTTAGGTCAGGCCCGCTTGTTGAAAAAG